GACCACATGGGAGTTCAGCGACATAGCCATTACGCTAACTGCTGGTCCCTCTAGAACATCATTATTTTTTAGCTGCCAGAAGCTGTGATCCCAGTCCTCATTTCCCCACCCTGCTGGGAACAGAGGCATGCACCCAGCTTGTTTCTCATGCTGCTGGGGTCAGGATTCAAGTCGTGGTTGGCCATGGGGCATATGGCTCCCTTAACCATTACCCTAGGGGGTGGCCACAGAATGCCATTTTATTAGTAACATAAAGCTGGAAATACAAAAAATGAGCAGAAACATAATTCCAGATCAAGGTCACAATTCTCCAAAGAGAAAATACAAACATGACATGAACACTGCAGCAGCACTAACATGTTATAGGTTAACAAAAAAGTAGCAAGGGCATATGGAATAAAGCTTTTCTACATCGCGTTTCAGTTTTTCTTAAAAAAGGACACTAAGGGTCAGCAGGTGGCATGGAGTTTAAGGTACTAGATCCCACATGGTTGGCTGTGCAGTGCAAGTCCTGGACCCGGCAGCTTGAAAATCACACCAGGTATGTGTGTGTGTGCGTGCCAAAAATCCCAAGAGGAGAGTGGAGAAGGGATTGCAACATGATCATGCCCCTCAGGGTGTAATTTCTCACTCTCTCTCCCTGGAGAGCATATGCGTCCCATACCAAAAACAAAACAAAACATTTTAAAAATTTACATTTTGGGATTTTTTTATAGATTTTTAAAGAATTATTTTATTTAACTTTCTTTCTTTCTTTAAATTTGAACAGAGAGGGACAGAGTGAGAGAGAGAGAAAGGGAAAGTGAGAAAGCAGGCCACCAGGGGACCAGCAGTTAGTGTAATGGCTATGTTGCTGGACTCCCATGTAGTCGACTGTGGTTCGCGTCCCGGGCCCGGTGGCTTAAAACTCACGCAGGGCGTGTGTGCGTGCATGCCCAAGATCCCGAGAGGAGAATGGAGGAGAAGGGACTGCGGCGTGGCCATCCCCCCTGGGGGGTGATTTCTCGCTTTCTCTCTGTCTGTCTGTCTGTCTGGCGAGCGCACGCGCCCTATAGGTTGGCCCTTAACCACCACACCACCTGCCAGTCCCTTAATATTCCCAACATAGCTATGAGAGGACGTCAAAAGGTTCATGGGAAATGGAATTAAAGGATATACTTATTTGGGTGGAAAAAAATGTGAAATCCTGATACGGTGTTTTTACAATATGCATTTTCCATGAACTTTCTGCAGACCCCGTGTCTACCTTCTTCTACTACGGAAATCTCAGAACGTTTCTGTAGTCTTGTCAACCACAATAAAGACTCCTCTTAAGTCTTATGGTTGGCGGCAGACGTCAATGGCTAGGGCCTTAGAAAGAAGAATCTCAGTGTCCAGGCCCCCATCGACACAACAGGTTAGGCTAAAGCCTAGGAGGAATAATCACAGGAAAAAATAAATAAAATAATAAAAAGTTTTCTCTACTCTTTTCAAGCAGAAGGACCCGCTCTGTGCTCCCGGGTTCAGGGCTTACCTGGCGCAGTCTGCTCTCACCGTGCAGCTAAGCGCTCAGCTTCACACAATGCACCTACTTCGATTTTTCCAGCATTCGGTAGCTCTTAAATCTGCACCTGATTCATCGTGATTTTCAGGTACAAACAGCATCCCAGGAACAGGTCAAGCGCTCTCAAATCCTAACTCTTCCCTGGCCCCATGCTCTGTGGTTTTTCTCCTTTTAAAGTTCTTGCTCCCGGGACTAGTCACCCAGCGACTTGAAACTCACACCAGGAGCATATGTGTGCTCAAAATCCCAAAAGAAGAATGGAAGAGGAGGGATTGCAGCATGGCCATCCCCCCAGGGGGGCCATTTCTCTTTCTCTCTCTTTTTTTTTTTTTAGCAAAAATCTCTCTTCAAAAAATAATAAAGTTCTTGCTCCCATTTTGGGAGAATCTCTCTCCCCTCCAGCTATCTATCTATGCACGTCTCTATCTCTGGCTGCTTCTTTGAGTGTGTAGCCACAGAACTAATGGTGCCAAAGAGCGGAAGTACTGTTAATAAGCCACAAGGGAAGGCAGAGTACCTTCTTTTTAAAAAATAATAATAATTATTTAATTTTTTTAGAGGTTTTTGCCTTAGGGCGTATGCCCTTGCCAGAGAAAGAGACAGAGACAGTGAGAGGGAAAGTAAGAAACCACCCCCAAGGGAGGGCCCCACCGCAATCCCTTCTCCTCCATTCTTCTCCTGGGATCTTGCACAAACACGCACACACGCCCGGTGTGAGTTTTAAGCTGCTGGGTCCAGGACTTGAACCACGGTCAACTATGTGGGAGTCCAGTGACATAACCATTATCCCATCTGCTGGTCCCTAAGACTGACAGTTTTAAGTCCTGTACAGTCCCAAGCAAGTTGGTCACCCAACAACAAATACGCAGCCCCTCCTTCCCCTTTACAGACTCCTATCTGGACCTGGGGCAGCTGGACTCCAAAGCTCAGGCACTTTCTCCCAGAACTCCTGCCTCTGCCTGTCCCTCTCAAACTTCAGAAGCGCCGTGGTCTCCCTCCCTGACAGGCTTCTGGGCCTAACCTAATTCTCGTGAAAAATGTTCAGCCTCTTCTTAGTCGGTCTTTTCCTCTGCCATGTCTACAAATCTTTCTTAATTCCTTAATACAGTACACCCAAGGGACCACCACTGGCAGCTTGTGAAAAACTAGAGTGAAAAAAATCAAAAGCAAAAGGAGGAAGTGACTTCCATAAAGGCCTATTTCTTCTTGACTGTAATTGGCAGTAAAACCCCTCTGGGCAGGGGGGTGAGTAGAGCAGTGGATATGGAACTGAAAAATACACGGTGCTTGCCTCAATGCACCATGACTGAAGCAAGCCTGTCGCCCCCTCCTCCCCAAGGGAGTGTGGGAAATGTACACACCAATTCAATTAAACCAGAAAGCAGGAGTTCATGAAAGGCAGAGCAGCTCCTAGGGGCCACTTTTCCTTTTTTCTCTTTAAAGTTTTTGCATAGGGTGCATGCACTCACCTGGAGACAGAGAGAGGGAAAGTGAGAAATCACTCCCAGGGGGATGGCCACACCACAATCCTTTCTCCTCCATGACCCTTTCAGGATTTGGGGTATGCATGCACATGTGCCCGGCATATTTTTTTTAAACAATTATTTATTTATTTATTTTCACTTGTTATTATTTTTTAATTCAACCAAAGAGAGATACAGAGAGAAAGGGAAAGTGAGAAAGCAAGCCACTGGGTCTGAGATTCAAACCATGGTCAGCCATGTAGGAATCCAGTGCCTTTAACCACCACGCCACCTGCCAGCCCCAGCCCAGCATGATCTTCAAGCTGCCAAGTCTGGGACTCGAACCTTGGTCAGCCATGTGAGAATCCAGAGCCTTAACAGCACACACTACCTGCTGACCCCAAGACCCACAGGTTTTAAGGGGTAGGATGAACAGGTGGCAGTTAGAGGTGGCTTAAATGGAGAAGTGTGTCTGAGGCTTACGCTATCAGGGGGCCTCAGCCCTGCCAGTGACCCTCCTTCTCCAGTACCCTCAACCCACTACCTTCTCCACTATCTTTTTTTTTTTTTTAATTTCCCAGAAAGCACGTGCACTCACCGGAGAGAGACCGAGGGAAGAAAAGCGAGACAGTACCCCCCCAAGGGGCATGGTCCTGCCACAGTCTCTTTTCCATCTCTCCCCGCTTTCAGGATTGTGGGCACCTACCCTCAGTGTGTCTGTCAGGCTGCTGGGTCAGGAACTCGAGTCCTGAGGACAGTCATATGGGATCCAGCAACCTTAACCACCAGGCCGCTGGCCGGGGATGGCCCCGCTTCTCTACTGTCACTCACTATTCGTGTCCCTTCTCAGAAGTCACCAACAATGTCTTAAGGAAGAAAGAACTGGGAGACATGCCATTGGCAACCTGTGCTAGTCCACTGTTGCTATTAACAGAAAATACCTGAAACTGATAACTTAGAAAAACGGAGGTTCATCCGGATTACAATGTGAAGACCCAATGTCCAGGGCTCCAGCTGGTGGGGAGGGTCTTGCAGAGTACACAGCAGCGGTGTGGACTTAGAGTCTCTCTCTCCCCATATCCTTTTCTCTCCTTATAAACCCTCCTGAACTCAGTCGTGGGAACCCCGCCCTAACAACCCTAATCCTAATCTCCTCCCCGAAAGCAGCATCTTTTCACAATAATTGGATCAAGTTTTCACCCCCTTAATCCCTTTACAGTGGCTCAACACATGAAGGCGGGGAGCGTATTCAAACTATAACACAACCCAAGTAGTAATATCATAGAACATTTCCAGGGGCCAGGGAGTGGTGCAGTGGTAATGCAACTGGACCCACATGGGGAAGGGTCTGGACCAGCATCCTGGGACCTCCCTGGGCATGCCAACTGAGACTGGAGGTGGTAAGAAGGCCCAGTCAGAGGTGCCTGTCTCTGTCTGTCTCTCATGAAATAAAGAAAAACAAAATAACCTTTCTACAGGAAAACAGATTTTTCTAAACTAATGTCATACAGAAACTACTGCAACAAAACTCTTAACACCAGAGAACACCTAAGTACTTCCTCAAAGGCCTACTTCCACAATACCTGGGGCAGGGCACAAATGAATGTTTGATAAAGTTATTTATTAAGTGGATTTCCCTGACTCCCTGCACATGAGCCACAGCTGAGTCAGTGGGTACCCTTCCTCTTGCTGCTCGGACGTGGTCCACCGACTAGCAGCACCTGCACCATCTGGGAGCGTATACCACATCAGAGAGCGTTTTAAAAACAAGACCCTCTGGTAAATGGTACACACATCAAAGTTTGAGAAACGCTGCCTTGGAAGTTTGCAATGTACAAATTTTTCCCAACTCCAGTCTCCACATCAGCGTGACATGAACGAAGCGCACATCCTGCACGGGGCCAACGACTAAGCCGAGGTGAGGTCAGGACACCTGTCATCCCGGGACGTTCCTTCTCCCTGACACCCCACTTCCATTCCCCCCATCCGCTCACCTTGATGCGCTCCCCATCAATCTCCACCGCTCGTTCCCGGAAATCCACCCCAATCGTGGCTTCGGTGCGGTCGGGGAAGCGGCCAGCGCAGAAGCGGTAGGTCAGGCACGTCTTGCCCACGTTGGAGTCGCCGATCACGATGATCTTGAAGATGCGCGA